TTCTTTAACTAGGTTGATTTTCTAAAGTTATATATTTCTTTAATGCGTGTTACTCCCACATTAAAGGTCTGCGGCTGTTAATTTTCTATTCTGTCCTGAATGAAATGTCACTTCAGTCTTATCGCGTCACACAACACTGCTTTATTTATTTTATTCTGATTTCCCCATCTAAGCTATTTGTCCCTCATTCTATACAGATCTTAGTAATAGTAATAGAGTAATAAATAAAGCACAAACCACTGTTACGCCGCGTCTTACAGCAAACGCGACGCGCGGCCATAATCAACGGTCAGCACAGAGCGCGGGAAACTATTGTTGACCTTTGACATTACCCTTCAAACCAACTTTTAGCCATTTTTGTTCCTGCAGTGCTTTGAAAATGGCTAACGCTGTGAGGAAACTCTTCCTGCTTGATTTATGTTGCTGGTTTATCCTGTCAGTTGTGTTCGAGTGTCAAATAAATCGAATAACTTAAATCCCGACTCGTTTTTTGGGGTTCTGTGAGTGTGAGGAAAATGTTTGTATTTACCGCTTTCGCGCGCGCGCATCAGGTGAACGGGCACGCACGGAGAGGCTCGTGAACGCGCTGCGGTGATCCACCCGATTCATCTGCCTCGGATCTCATATAAACCACGATGTAAGTACAAAATACTAAGAGCGTTTATTTGATCAATACCTAAATATATGTGACTGATTGAGTTTTGCTGTCTTTTCCCTAAGTAATGAACGAGACATGGCGGAAATCTGAAAGTTTTCCTTCATCTGCAGTTATTTATGATGTAGTAATATAGATTTCAGCATGTTTATGGGGAATATAAACACTTTAAATGGCTTTTCACCTCGCTAAATTGCGTGTTTTATGGCTCGTATTAATGTTAAATGACAGGGATGCTGATTAATGATGAGGGTGTTTTGGGATTAAGTTTCTCCGCAGTGCGGCATGAAGAAACTTTCAGGTTGTGTGTGTGTGTGTGTGTGTGTGAATATTAAACCTAAATTTACAACCTAAATTGAGGTTCCTATGAGTTAAATGTCTTGTATCTTAAATCCTATGTAGAAGTGCAGTGTTCTTTCTGTGAGAGCAGGTTAAGGGATATAAGGGGATATAATATACAGCTGTATGTAATAAACAGTAGCCTATAAAAGTCCTTATGTCTTTTAAGAGTCCCCATAACGATGGCAAACCTGTGTGTGTATACAGCTGAAAGTGTCTATTCTGGGCTGTACTCGGGGACAGTGCAGTGATACAGCAGATTTTCTCTAAATTAAAATTCACTTTTTTTTAATTCAGAAGTGCTTCAGTTACATTTTATCGCAAGTAATAGTGCATCCGTTTGATAATTAATTAATAATGTAGTTGGGAGTTTTACTGCTGAATTTCTTGAAATGTCCAAATTTGTGTTGTGTATAGTGCACATACTATTCATATGGTGATTATCACAGTAAATGGTTTCACAGAAATTACAAACATATTTTTAAACATGTACATGTCTGATCAGTTAATGCAGTGGTTCTCAAACTGTGGTACGTGTACCACTAGTGGTACGCAGGCTTCCTTGTAGTGGTACGCGGAGAAATGAAATATGTCATGGTACATGCTAAACACATTTCAAAATGTATCAAAAATTATGCATATAATATGTAATATATGACATATAGCCTATATTTCTGAGGTAATCTGCCACGTTTTTTAACTGTGCAGAGTTGTAGCTGCTTAACTGTGCCAACTACGCTACTGTATTTCAGTGCTGCTCATTTTAATGGTGGTACTTGAAGAGACAATTTTTTTCTGAGGTGGTACTTGATGAAAAAAGTTTGAGAACCACTGAGTTAATGTTTTAATTGATGGACTAACATTTTGTGCAAAATGATTTTGGGTAATAAATATGAAAAAAAAAAAATGCATGTGAAATTTTCAGATTTCATCATGCAAGATTTCGTGCCCGATGAATTTTCAGTAGCCTATAATCAAAATGAAAAATGCATATAAAATGTGGGCTTTCAGTGGGCATGGTTTCTGTGTAATTATTATTTTATATGATAACTAATATGTATAAATCCCGTGTGAAAATTTACTGTGAGAATTTTTAGGATAGTATGAAAAAGCGTGACAGTTTTTTAAATAATTCATGCGAGAAAATGAGTGACAGATTTAGGTTTCTGTGCACAACACATTTTAATGGATAATGAATGCAAAAAGACACAGAAATCTAAGTTTAGCATGCAGTTTTTTTGTGCACAAACTATTTTTAGGATAATGAACAAAACAATGCAATGTGCGACAGATTTTTAATATAATAAATACGACAAAGCACATGAAAATTTCGGATTTCAGTGAGCAAGTAAACGCATACAAAAACGAGGGTTTCAGTGTGCAAGTTCAATGCGCAATCAAGTAATTGAATGTTAAATACATTATAACTGCATATGAAAATTCCAGGTTCTAGTGTGCAGTGTGAAGATCTCAGGACTCAGGCTTTCTGTGCATGACCCATTTTTAGGATAACAATCCAAAAAGTGCATACATTTTTATACAAATTTTTTTCATCAAAGTGTCCAGTTTAATGATTATATGATCAAACCATACACACATTTTAGATTTCAGTGTGCAATGTTTCAAGATTTTAAGGTTAATCAATACAAAAGGTTTTTGTGTACAACTAATTTTTAGGATTATGCACATGAAAAGATGCACAAATTTAGGATTTCTGTGTGCAACAAATTTTTACATAATGCGAGAAAATGAATATGAAAATGTAAAATTTCTGTGTCCAATTAACTTTTGGACAATGAATAAGAACAAGAAGAATAAGATTTCAGATTTCAGTGTGCAAGGTTTTCTGCGCACAAATAAGGAAGGATAAGGAATAGTTTCCTAACACCTTCAGTCTGCAAATAAACTAAAACATGTGGGTTTCAGAGTACAAGACCTAATGCACAATGAATGTTTAGGGTATTAAATACGTTAAAAAAGCAAATAAAAAATTCAGCTTTTAGTGCAAAGACCTCCAGTGCAAAGGGTTTCTGTGCATGACCCATTTTTAGGATAACTAATCCAAAAAGTGCATAAAGAACATTTGATTTCAGTGTGCAATGTTTCTGTGTGTGACACATTTTTTAAAGAATAATGAATACAAAACGACACAAAAATGTCAGGTTTCACTATGCCAGGTTTCTGTGCACAACAATTGATTTTTATAAATGATGCGAGAAAATAAATATGATAAATACAATTTTGGGTTTAGGTGTGTGATTAATTTTTAGAATAACGAACACTAAAAAGCACATAAAAATTTCAGATTTCAGTGTGCAAAAAGGCTTAAAAAATGTGTGTTAATGTGCAAAGTTCAATGCACAATGAATATTAATGGATAAAAAATGCAGATGAAAATTTCAAGTTCCAGTGCACAAATACATTTAATGTGCAGGGTGTCTGCGCACAACAAGTTTTAATTTTATAAATATGAAAATCATACATGAAATTCAGGTTTCAGAGTGCAGTGCTTCTGTTTGCGGTAAAACATTTATTAGCTTGAATCTCACCAGTGTTGTTGTGTATCTCCAGATGTGTGTGCTGTGACTGTTGTGTGTTGTTTTTCTACAGGTGTGTGTGTGCTGCGACTCTGCTGTGTGTGTTGTATTTTTGCAGCTGCGACTCTGTTGTGTTTCTGCAGGTGTGTGTGTGTGTGTGTGCTGTGACTCTGTTGTGTTGTGTTTCTGCAGGTGTGTGTGTGCTGCGACTCTGCTGTGTGTGTTGTATTTTTGCAGCTGCGACTCTGTTGTGTTTCTGCAGGTGTGTGTGTGTGTGTGTGTGTGTGCTGTGACTCTGTTGTGTTGTGTTTCTGCAGGTGTGTGTGTGCTGCGACTCTGCTGTGTGTGTTGGCTCTGAGCTCTGTGGCCAGCGGCAGCGTCGGGTCAGAAACGTCACTTTCTCTTTCACCAGTAGATGGCGCTGGCGGTGTGTGTTAACCGCCTGTGTTTTCTCCCTCCGCAGCCTCAGTAACTCCAGTAGTTTCTGCTCTGAGTCTAAGGAATGTCTTCAGTTCGATCTGATCTGCAGGACGGCCGAGTACGAGGTCAGACGCTCAGATGAGTTTACGCTTACACTGAGCTGTGGAAATCGTTAATTTAGCAGATCTCTGACGCGTGTGTTTGCAGGTGCGTCATTATTCAGCCACGCGATGGGTCTCCACTGATGCTGAGGCCTATTTTCTGGGGGTCGGAGCTGCCATGGCCTTCAGACGACTCTATCATTATATAAACGGAGACAATAAAGAAGGTTGGTGGAGTTTTTCTTTATTGCATATAATCAGTAGCTACGTTAACATTCCACTATTTTTATGTGCATTTTAAGATATTTTTCTGACTATTTTGTAAGTTCTTTTGTTTGATATTTGCCTTCACGTAATCAGGAAGTGACGATTTTGTAAAAACATTTCTTTTATTTGCCGCCAATTTTTCTATGTGATACTTGCCACCACATAGTCAAAAAGTGACAATTGAGTTAATTTCTTCTGGCTGATATTTGCAGCTAGTTCATCAAGAAGTGACGATTTTGTTAATTTTCTTTCTGATATTTGTTTCCACGTAATCGGGAAGTGATGATTTTGTAAAAAAGAATTGTCTGATATTTGCCGTCAATTAATCAGGAAGTGGCGATATTGTAAATTGTTGTCTGATATTTGTCGTCAGTTAATCAAGAAGGGATGATTTTGTAGATTGTCTGACATAATTAGGAAGTGACGATTTTGTCTTTTTTCTCACATTTGCCACTCGTTTATCAAGAAGTGACGATTTTGTACATTTTTCTGTTTGAAAATTGTAGACACGTAATCAGAAAGTGGCGATTGAGTAAATTTTTCTCATATTTGGCGCCAGTTTATCAGGAAGTAACAATTTTATAAATTTTTCTGTCAATTTGTTGCCATATAATTAGAAAGTGACGATTTAGGTAATTTTCGTCTGATTTTTGACTTCACGTAATTTGGAAGTGACGTTTTTGTTAATTTTTCTGAAATTTGTCACCAGTGAATTAGGAAGTGACAATTTTGTAGATTTTTCTGATATTTGCTGCCAGTTTATCAGGAAGTTACAATTTTGTTAATTTTCTGTCTAATATTTGTTTCCACGTAATAAGGAAGTGAAGATTTTGTTAATTTTCTGTCTGATATGTGTTTCCACGTAATGAAGTGACGATTTTGTAATTTTTTTGCTGATATTTGTTTCCACGTAATCGAGAAAGTGACGATTTTGTAAAAAATTAACTTGTCTGATATTTTCCATCATTTAATCAAAAAGTGACGATTTTGTAAATAGTTTCTGATGTTTGTCGATAGTCAATCAGGAAGGCATGATTTTGTAAATTGTCTGACATATGTGCCTTCATGTAATTAAGAGGTGACGATTTAGCTTATTTTTTTGTATTTGCCACTCGTTTATCAGAAAGTTGTAATTGTGTTCATTTTCCTGTCCGATATTTAGTGCCAGTTTATCAGTAAATGGTGATTTTGTTTATTTTTATATCTGATATTTGTCCATACATAATCAGGAAGTGATGATTTAGCTGAGCTTTTGGTCTGATATTTGCCGTCAATTAATCAGGAAGTGGCGATTTTGTAAATTGTTGTCTGATATTTGTTGCCAGTTAATCAGGAAGGGATGATTTTGTAAATTGTCTGACATGTAATTGGCAAGTGACGATTTTGTTTATTTTTTCTGATATTTGCCACTTGTTTATCAAGAAGTGACGATTTTGTTAATTTTTCTGTCTGATAATTTTTGCCGTCAATTAATCAGAAAGTGGCGATTTTGTAAATTTTTGTCTGATATTTGCCGCCAGTTTATCAGGAAGTAACAATTTTATAAATTTTTCTGTCTGATATTTGTTGCCATATTATTAGAAAGTGACGATTGAGGTAATTTTCGTCTGATTTTTGACTTCACGTAATTCGTAAGTAAAGTTTTTAAAAGTTGTTGTCGGATATTTGCTGCCTAATAACCAGGAAGGGATGTTTTTTTTAAAAACTTTTTTCTGATATTTGCCGCCAGTAAATCAGGAAGTGATGATTTTGTTCTCTTTTGTTTCTCATTGAATGGAGCCGCTGCTTTATTCGCAAACGTTTTATACAATATTCCAGTTTTGCGCACAAGTTTGCGTCTTTGGATGGACACACAGCTAGTTTTTGTGTTTAGGTGTGAAGTTTGAGATGATGGCTCCGGTGCTCGTTGAAGTTCCAGAGGAAGTTAAGATGTGGGAACCGGCGATCTACACCCTCAGCTTCCTGTTGCCGTCAGCCTATCAGGAGCATCCACCCACACCGACCAATGACAAGGTTCGAGCAATCGCCAGATATTCAGAAAGGTCCATTAGCTAAGAGCTGATCGTAGCGCAAGATTCACTGGCGTTTCTGTTCATTTTACACATTTGAGTTGAATTTATGTTAGCAATTTAAGTTGAATTCTGCTGTTTTTAATTTTGTTTTGGACTTTGCGATCACGCTCAATACGGGCTGGCTATTTAAGAGATAATGTGTCTGTTCATGATACGAACTCTTGGTGTTTGATAAGCCATTTGTTTAATGTATATTAGTTAATAATACAGATAAATAATTATTAATAACTATTGACTAAATTAATAACTAAAGTATTAATAGTGGCTTTTTCAAATGAATATTTATATGAAATGTAATTTAAAAAAAAAAATATTTATTTTTTTTGTCAATAATTTTTTTTTTAGTCATTTTTTTATTTTATTTTATCGTTTATTTTGTATTGTAATGTTTTTAATGATTTTTTAAAGGTATTTTTTTAGGTAATCTCAGTATGATTATTAATATTTTAGAATAGAAACGATATCAATAGCTATATTTATTAGGTGTGACAGTTGTTATGTGTGTGTTTATATAGCTGTATTTCTCTGATATGGCCGACATGGACGTGTACGTGAGGAGTTATGGCGGCTGGATGCTGTCAATCACCTCTCGAGTCCACGCCCACCTGCTGACCCGAGCACTGATCAGAGCCGACGCCCACTTCAATAACACACACCATTACGCTGTGGGCTACGACAGGTACAAACACACACACACACACACACACACATAAACACACACACAAACACACTTTACAGAAATTTTGAAACAATTATCTATTTATGATGTATTAATGCTCTTTTTATCTCTTTCTGTGTGTGTGTGTGTGTGTGTGTGTGTGTGTGTGTGTGTGTGTGTGTTTAGTCCGCTGAAGCTGTTGAACAGGCATAATGAGGTTTGGTTCGTGGTTGAAGGAGAGCCGGTGTGTGAACAGTAGAAAACATCTGAACACACCGACACACACTAAACTGGTAACACACACGCACACACACACACAGAATCACACATATACACATAGAAATGAGCACACACAACCACACATATAAATAATAATACACACGTACAGGAATACACACAAACACAATCACACATATACACACACAAACACACATATAAGCTCATGAATACACGCACACACACACACAATTACACATACACAAAATACACAAACAGAAATGCACATACACACACACTGAATCACAAAGATACACAGAAATACACACAAATACGCTCATGAATACACACACACACACAATCACTCATAAGCACAATAGACACATACAAAAATACACACACACACTAAATCGCACAGATGGACATAGAAATACACACAATCACACATATACGCTCATGAATACACACACACACACAATCACAGATATACACACATACAGAAAAGCCAAACACACTGAATCACACAAATACACAGAAATTCCCACATATACGCTCATGAATACACACACACATACAGAAACACACAATTACAGATGTACACAATACACACATACAGAAATACACTAAATCACACATATACAAACAAAAGTACACACACACACACACATACATTCATACACACAAACAGTACCACTGGGAGTTGGTTCTGAAAAGAATCAATTCAAGAGCATTAGGAGTCGATTCAAATGTTCAGAACAGATTCCATAAGGAGAATCGACTCCTCAAATGAATCATTTCAGCCTCTCCCATTCTGTCACTAATGAACAGAATCACTTACTAACAACAACCAGACACTTTTCCATGAACAGATTCAATTGATTCATTTCAAAGAATCGATTCATTTTACCAAATCCATGATTCACCTATAATGCTGTATACTATCTACCAGCTGATGATGGGATGTCACACTGAACTGTCCAAAGAACAAACAATGTAAGCGTCCATATTCATAATTAGTACCTTTCATTCTTCATTCATTGATGATCATTAATGAAGTGCACGGCTTCATTTCTCTACTAATGCACTCATAAGAGATGGTATAATGCATTATAAATGTGCTGGAACTGAGTTATAGTCCCAACACGTGCGTTTGAGCTCCAATAAAAGACGACAGGGTTTGATCTTAGTTTTGTTTTAAATCAAAGTCTGCTTTATTTGTCATGTGAATGCTGCTGGTGTTATAACACACACACACACACACACACACACACACATAAAGACTGATAAACACACGCTTATTCAGTGTTATAATGCTGTAATTATTCATGTATGCAGTACATTTCGCTTATTTACTGAGGGTTTGAGTGTGGAATATTTACGTAAGCACTGAATATTTGTGACACTAGTTTACGATAAGGAGAGGCGTTTGCGAGGATGGTTAAGCATCATACGGCAGCAATTTGTAGATTAAGGCTGGAAGTTGTTTGGTGTTTTTATCTTTTGCTCTTTGGATTTTCATTTTAGAAACAGATTTTAAATAATTGTCGACGCAGTTGGTAGTGCTGTCGCCTCACAGCAAGAAGGTCGCTGGTTCAAGTCTTGGCTGGGTCAGTTGGTGTTTCTGTGTGGAGTTTGCATGTTCTCCCTGCATTTGCGTGGGTTTCCTCCGGGTGCTCCGGTTTCCACCACAGTCCAAACACATGTGGTACAGGTGAACTGAGTAAACTGTCCGAAGTGTATGAGTGTGAATGAGTGTGTGTGTGGATGTTTCCCAGAGATGGGTTGCAGCTGGAAGGGCATCTGCTGCGTAAAAACATGCTGGATAAGTTGGCGGTTCATTCCACTGTGGCGACCCTGGATTAATAAAGGGACTAAGCCGACAAGAAAATGAATGAATGAATGATTATTGAAAAATAAAATACGAGTCGTTTTCAGATTTTTGTTTTAAAATAAAAAAACTAAAATTGAAATGTAATGCGTTTTTGATTATCGTTTTCAAATTTTAAAACAAAAATAAAAAAACAGCCCATTTTTCTTTTTTTATGGTTAAAAACAAAAAAGCAAAATTCAAAGTTGATTTGATTTTCATTTTTTATTTCGAATAATAAAAATAAAATCAGCAGAAAACAAAAACGAATAATTTTTTGAATTCCGAAACCAGACAGGCCGACTCATTTACAGTGACGCAACACTGACCTGCTAGCCGACTGTATTATTTTTTTCACCTAATAATGTTATAAAAGGTGTTTTCTTGTGATAACAGGATTTCGTTAAGACATATTTTCCTCATTGAAGCCGGTTATATGGAACAACGTAATTGACGATACATGCGTTATTTGCATTGCTGAACATAGAGTTTATTGTTAAAATCACTTCCACTTCAGGAGTGACAGTAACATTGGACATTCGATTGAAATAGCAGCAGCCTATTCATTCATTCATTCATTCATTCATTTTCTTATCGACTTAGTCCCTTAACCCGGGGTCGCCACAGCGGAGTGAACTGCCAATTTATCCAGCATGTTTTTACACAGCGAATGCCCTTCCAGCCGCAACTCATCACTGGGAAACATACACACACACATTCACACACACACACACTCATGACAATTTAGCCTACTCAGTTCACCTGTACCGTATGTGTTTGGACTGTGGGGGAAAAGAGCACCCGGAGGAAACCCACTTGAACGCAGGGAGAACATGCAAACTCCACACAGAAACACTAACTGAGCCGAGATGAGACCCAGCGACCTTCTTGCTGAGTTGACAGCACTACCTACTGCACCACAGTGTCCCCAGGCTATTTTTTAATAATTTCAATTCATGCATTAAAAATCTGCTGCTATATTTGCTCATGGCTACATGAAATTATGGATAGACCCACTGTAGCGGGGTGAAGACGGTGACGCACGCACACAACTCGTTCATAAGCTTTAGTGATAGTCTGTTTTTATAAGACACGGGATGCTGATCAGGGTGTTTGCGCAGCATGCCTCCTTTCAGATAACATTACCTGTTCATTTTTATTTTAAAATACTATAGCGCATTGAAATGTGCGTAACAAACAACTGTATTAATGCCTCTCTCACTTGAAATGACTCAAACTTCAGGAAGTGGGAGAATTATGGTTTTTTTAACAATATTAAAACTTTATTTTCAGAAAGGTGTTCAGAAAAGCAAAATGCTCGCATGTAATGTCAGAATAAAGGTTGTTTCATTTAAAACATGCTAACAAAAAATAAATATATAGCCTATAACTGGCCCTTTTATGAGAAATATGTTGTCTTAATGAGGAAAATATGTCTTCACAGAATCCAGTTATCACAAGAAAACACCTTTCAAGAGTTCACACTTAGCTGATGATTAATTATAAAGCGTGTTTGGCATGCTGTCCTGGGAGAGAGCCCTGAGCTCATGAGATCCTCGAGCCCAGGGCTCCCTCCCGTTGCAAGGCAGGAGGGGAGTTTGAGCTCAGGTAGATCTCGAGAACTCCCCTGCTGTAGTAACCAATGAACAGTAAGTGATTGCTCTTGAAGATAACTGCGTACTAGAAGCATATCTATGGTGCCAATTTAGATTATTCAATTAACTTAATTGCATGATTTTAGGCGGTGGGAGGAAACCAGGGAACCCGGGGGAAACCCACGCAAGCACGGGGAGAAGTGCAAACTCCTCACAGAAATGTCTGCTGGTTTGGTAAAGCCTGGAACCAGAGACATTCTTGCTGTGAGGCAACAGTGCTAGGCACTGGGCCACCGTGTCACCCATCTAAGAAGGAGGAGTAGGGGTGGAAGGGGGGACTCTTCAAAACAAAGATAGCAGTGGAATGAATCCCAGGGTATTTATAGTTGTTTAAGAGTCATCTGATTGGAGCGTAGTGAATAGGATAATGCGGATCTAGCCGCTAATCATAAGCATGTGATCCTCTCGACATTTGTTTATACATAAACTTCACTTATAACATTAATAAAGTGGGAAAATAACAGCCTATAGTCAGCTAGCAGGTCAGCATTGCGTCACTGTGAATGAGTCGGCCTGTCTGGTTTCAGAATATAAAAACACAAGCCTTTATTTTTGTTTTCTTCTGATTTTATTTTTTGTTATTTGAAATTAAAAAAAAGAAAATTAAATCAAAAACGCATTAAATTTCAATTTTCATTTTTAAATTGTAAAACGAAAATCAGAAAACGACTTGTTTTACGTTTTTCAATATCTGTTTCTAAAATGAAACTCCAATGACTAAAAGATACGTCTCCTTATTTGAGTACTGCACGCCCTGTTCAACACATAAAACTAAACAGAACAAGACAGAGTCTAAAGCAAGGCTGCCCAAACTCGGTCCTGGAGGGCCGCTGTCCTGCATATTTTTGTTTCAACCCCAATTAAACACTCCTGAACAAGCTAATCAAGCTGTTTCTAGGTATACAAGAAAGCTACAAGCAGGTGTGTTTAAGAAAGTTGGAGCTAAACTATGCAGGACAGCGGCCCTCTAGGACCGAGTTAGACACCCCTGCTCTAAAGAATCAAAACAAAAGAATCACAATAGTGAAGAATCAACTCTTTTGAATTGATTCAGAACTAATGATCAGTGTGTGTGTGTTTTCTCTTTGAAGTGTTTTATATGCAATAAATCTGCTGACAGCTGAACATGCGCATGATTCACTGCTGTTTTCTGTTCATTTAACACAAACTGCACTGCATTCAGCTGTTTTGTTCTCTGCTGAGATCGTGTTCAATACAGGCGGTCTAATTAAGAGATTTTTTTTTGTTCATGATGTGTGTTTGATACGTAATTTGATGAGTTTACTGTTTTTAATTTTAATGTTTTCAAATTAATATTTAGCTCATTTGCGAGTGTGCTTTGAGTGTATAAAATAAAAAAAGAATCACTACAATGGTGAAGAATCAACTCTTTGAATCGATTCAGAACTAATGGACAGTGTGTTTGTGTTTTCTCCTTGAAGTGTGTGTGTGTGTGTGTGTGTTTATGCAATAAATCTGCTGGTGCGCTTCATGATCATGTAATCACGTCAGGAGTGTGTGTAGCGTTGATCTCCACACTTCATCACTGAGTCTCTGCTTCTGTCATGAATGCTCAATAAATCATCAT